AAATTGGTTGTCTCACGCAGTACATAGTTTGAAATTATAAGTAAACGATTCTCTTCTAAACCTACCACAACTATACGGGGTCCTAGTAACTACTTCCCTGGCCACAACATAGACCAACTATTAAAGGAATATCTCCAAACTGGTAATACCAAAAGTACAAGCAAATTGGTTGTCTCACGCAGTACATAGTTTGAAATTATAAGTAAACGATTCTCTTCTAAACCTACCACAACTATACGGGGTCCTAGCAACTACTTCCCTGGCCACAACATAGACCAACTATTAAAGGAATATCTCCAAACTGGTAATACCAAAAGTACAAAGGTCGTATGCTTCAGCCTTTTAAGAGTTGCAGAAACACAAGACTGAAATCTTGAATGCACAAACTATAAAATACAATCAACAAATTCATGAACTCTCAGAGAATAAACTAACTCAATATGCTCAAGAGAGAACAATAAAACTCAATTTTCTTAATTTTTTTTTTTCTTTTTAGATTTCGTGATCTAATGCATATAAAGAAAAGACAAATCATAACTAGGTAAAGACACCTTGGATTGGCATAATCGTCATCATCCTTCCTTTAGACTAAGTTTTCTTCATCTAGAATCCATGTACGTGATATAAAGAACTTCATAATTGCGTTTTCGAAATCATTTTCCTAAGAACACGACTTTCATAAAAGAGCTTATCTAACAAATCTAAGAGACCTTGAGGTCAATCTTTCCAAATCCTACTTACATCTTCTCAAACGTCCAAAATCATTTATGTGTGGGCAACTCATTTTTTTATTGTTCTTGCCATATATTCCTTATCATACAAGAGAGAGAAACAATTCATTAATCTAAACAACATATATGGTAAGTGAATATATAAAAAATATATGTGGTTGGCTCTAGTCGGTTGTTGGCATGTGGCTGTAGGTTGGTGTAGGGGCCGGAGTTTGAGCTGGCCTTCAGTTTCTGGTCCAGGGGTTGTCTACCAGGGAGAGGGATCGGGTCTGTGGGTTAAGGTCTAGTTAGGTTTAGTGTTACTACAGTTTCTGGATTTGCGCTTCGGTCGCGCCACGGTCCGTGTGGTTGGTTGCTCTCAGGCGACGATGTCGTGGTTTCTTTTCCAGGGTGACTTGTCAGCTGTCGGAAGAGTTTTATTATAGTTATTCGGTTGTTTTATAGTTTGTCTATTCGTTGTTTTGTAAGTGTGTGTTTGTTGTGGTTTTTATTCTTCTGTTTATGAACGTGTATTCTCCCATTTTGAAGTATATATTCTTCACTTGTTTAAGATTCTTTTTGTTTTTTTATGTTCTTACTGTTTGTGTTGTGGTATTTTGACTTCCTTAGATAGGCTTCCCATTTGAATTCAATTGCGTCGCTGGTTCATTCGGTTGGTTAGCCGCATATAAAGATATTTTATTAATAAATCTTGAAAAAAAAAAAATCTCGACTACTTCCCATGTACATGATCATATTTTGAAGTTTTGTCATGACAAATGTTAAAATATGAGAGTCATAGAAACCAAACAGTTGCGAGAATTTTGTCATTGGCAAAAAGTTGTGGTTTAGGGACTTGCATCAAATGAAATATAACCCCAAACAATGTAGCTGACAAGATACTCCAACAATAAGATTCCCTTTTTAAGAATTGCATGCTGAGAAACTGGGTATCTATCTATAGCTGAAAAGATGCTCCAACATTTGTAATCAGACATTAATATCTCAAAGTTACTAAATTCTAACTGTCCTAATAAGTTATCTACAAAATAAGAACATCACCGGTCTGGTAATAGCTGAAATAAGTATCTTTTTCATGTTCTCTCCATCAGTTTGGGGTCATGGTTGGCCGGGGAGGTGGGTCCCCTTGAAGAACCATTCCCAAAAACATTCAATTTACCCATCGTCTTGGAAAAGGAGGTGATGAATCTCTTGGAGCCCGTCTTCTCCATGTCCCTCCTCATGCAAACGTGGTCCCTCTCCAAATCATTCAACCTCATCCGTAACCTTGTGAGCTCGAGCTTCAGCTCCCGATTTTCCCTCCTCAAGGATGCGTAGTTGTCGCGTGGGGACATGGAGGCACTCACGACCCCACTGCTTACCTTCCAAGACGTGTGCACGGGCTTATCGTCTGGGTAGGGCCCGAACAAGGCGTTTCGGAGCCTCAGCTGCTCGTAATATAGGACTTGGACGATAGATTGGAGCGGCAGACGCTCATTTTGGGCCGCATGAGCACCGGCTTCCGGCGATAGTTTCTGGAAATCTATAAGTTTGCAGAGCTTCCTCCTGTCCGCGTCTGTCAGGCTGTGGTGGGCCTGTCAAATATTTTGTGATCAGTTGATGCATAAGCACAATCTTTTTCTTTTTGTGTGATGAATGGAGGAGAAACTCTTACCTTAAGGTAAACATCGATGGCCCGGTAGAGGCCGTCGTGAATGGTACGTGCGTGTGCTGGTAGGCTCTCGGCAACAGCCACAAACTTATTGAGCCTGAGGTTCGCGTCGGCTGCAATTTCAGTGAGGTAGCCGTCCACCAACCTTGACACCTTGAAGAGCGCCGGCTGAGATGGGGAGCAGAGGCCCCCATCCGAACCAAAAGCGGAGCCAAGCCCATCCACCTCGTCCTCACTGTCGTCCAGCTGGCAGAAGTTGACGAGGATCCTGTGCACACAGTCCACATCAAACAAGGTGTCGCCCGCGTGGCGGAAGGACGGGATGAGGAGGTCGTCAATGGTTGCCAGCTCCAGCTGGGACCCGATCCGCCTCTCTAGGTCAAGCCTGCACGAGACAGCGCAGTCCAGCACCACCGCACTCCTCAGCAGCCCGAACAGGAAGGACAGAGGGACCGCGAACCTCTCCACCGGCAGTAACCCAACAATCGTCTCCACCACGAATTTCTCATGCTCGTTTGCCTCTGCCTCCTGCTGCTTCCTCACGAGCTGCCTCTGTGCGTAGCTCACGAGGGAGGCCCCAATGCTTTCTGGGCGGAGACCGCGGCACTTCATGGCCAGAATGACACGCTCATAGAAGTCGACCCGGAGCCCTGACAAGTCCTCGATCCACCAGTCTCCCACGGCGTCGCACTTCTTCAGCTGCTTGCTCATGTGGAGGCGGCCCGAGCTGCTGTACTCGAGGCGCGAGAAGCTGGATGCAATCTGCTCTGCGCACGCCTTGGAGGCTATGGCGTCCACACACCGGGCCGGGATGCAGAGGTCATCCGCCATTGGGAGCAGGGACTCGCAATGCTTCAGAACTTGTACCGACAGCTCCAGGCTCTTGCACACCACGCTCTCCAAGTACTCCTCAGCCCGGGACAGGAGGTTGTTGCTCGAGTAGTCATCCGTCATTTCCAGGTACTCGGAGGCGCAATAGAGGCGGGCCACATTCGCGGATGTGATCTCGAAGTTGAGCCCGTAGCAGAACTGGGCAGCCAGCTCAAAGGACTCAGCCCCTCCCGGCATGCCTTCCAGTTCGATTTTCGAAACCCCACTGTCTCGGTTCTCGGCAACTAGCTTTCGGATGCGCCCACTCCGTGAGACCAGGGGGAACTGCAAAATTCCACCATCATTTTCATCACATTACTACTTTTTAACTGAAAAACTTTCAGGGGAACAATGATTAGGTTTTCTTGGATTTTGAGATTGCACAAAATTAGCTTGCTCAGTCACATTGCAGGAAAAAAAAAATAACTTAAATGGACCAGTAATCAATTGTGTTGAGGACCACAAGGAAAGGACAACATATACTCTATTGTTTTCACATGAAGAAAAAAAGGATAGTGATGCAGAGATGTGGAGACTTTACCTTATGCAAAGTGAATGTGCCCCCATCTACTTCAATAGTTATATCACTCGGAACATCTTGAAACACCCTGTACACGAATATATATATATATATATGTCCATATTAATTAAAAGCATTGATAATTTAGATTACTGTACAACTATAGGCTACAATACAAACAACACACACACACACACACACAAAATGAAAGAAAGATTCTACATAAGACAGTAGATAGATAACATTTCAAGCTCAAGAGAGTTCAGATTTCTTCAGAATGTAGCAAAATAATCTGCAACAATCTCGAATAAAGCCCTCAACTGAACATAATTACTCATAACTCTGTGTAAAAGAAGGCCAAATAATGATGACTAGAAAAATCAAATCAAATAATGAAGACCGGAAAACTAATTGTATCGATCGGCAAACGAACCATTCACTGCAACGCTGACGAGCGAACTTGGCCAGCGGCAGCTGCTGGTGGTGGATATGTTTGTCCATTCACTGTATCGATATGAAATCCCAGAAAGAAAAGGATCTTGAGAGAGAGTGAGACAATGTGAGGAGAGTCGGAGAGAGAAAGAGGGAGAAAGTGGCAGAGTGCCAGTGAGAAATGTTGCTGTGGGCAGAGTTCTTTGGCCATTTTTGTCAAACAATTCGTGTTCAAATCGTAGATGACAATTAGTCTAAAAGCGTTATAGGGCCTGTCTGTCCTGTCCTGTGGGCCCGATTTGAAGAAAAGAAAATCGAAATACTATATATTGTTTTGTCAATCTTCAAAAGCATCTGTTCGTTCGTGCTTACAAAGGAGCGTGAATAAAGGAGTTCTTTTTGTGCTTGTGTGCTTCGTTCTCCTCAGATTCTTGTTTCATCTTTCGGAAAAGTCAAGAATTGTAGTAAGAGAAAAAGGGAGAAAAAAAAAAA